AGATTCATGTTAGTTTTCAATATGTTGGAAAGTTCACTGAATTTATTTTCAAAAATATACATCCTCTACGAATTTTTGATGATTCTTCTCATGCCAAAAGAATTAAAATTTGAAAAGATTCCAGTTCATGATTTGGTATAGAACTAGCCAAGCTGATCAAAATACGTGATAAGTAGAAATCTTCCGAAGAAAGGAAGAAAACAATTTCAACAGTCCTCTCAAAACAAGTACTTTCATATAAGCATTGAATTACATGAAAGAAAAATTACTTTTGATACAGTGAAGAATTAGCCGAACTTCATCAAAACAATGTTGAGGGACATTTTAAATGCTCGTCAGTTGTAAGTGCATAACATCAAATAGTTTCATTATGTACATATCGTCCTCCTTCAGGGGACACTGAAATATTTTTTACTTACTCAGTAAAATATTAGATGCATGTTTAGTGAAATTCTCTAAATTTAATATAATCTTATGCGGAGACTTTAACATAAATCTACTAACAAAAGACGCACTGACAAATGCCTTTTTAACCATTTTAACCACCTATGATGTGCATCAAACCATATTTGACCCAACAAGAATTACAAAAAAATCACATACCCTTCTAGATAATATATTTATCTCTACAAGTAAACACTATGGGCATTAGAATATCATGTAAAAATAAAAAGAAACTATGAAAAAAAATCAAAACAACTTATATCAAATGAACAATACTGCAAAATACTAAAAAATGTTATCAAGAAGTCGAAAGTAATATCTGACAATCAATATATTTCAAATGATTCAAATAAAGGAAAGGCAACATGGTCACTAGTTAAAAAATACACTGGGAAAGCAAAAAATGAAAGCGACACAATTTTAAGAAACCTAGATACAGACTCTTTTAACCTAATATTATTGTGATTTATGTTTATATTTATACTGACATGTTCTATGCCCTCAGGGGTACTGTATTTTTATCCTGAACAAATAAATTTGATCTATCTATCTATCTATTCGAATATTAACTCGAGTCCGGCCGGACTCGAGTTAATATTTGAGGACACCCGTTGATTTTAGTTATGCCCCTGATAACATTTTTAAAAATATCGTATCTTTCTTAGATCAAGGGGGATGTAACAAGCCTGTGCACAAGAAAGTTTAGCCTTGCCATTTTTTGTTGTAGAAAATGGTGCGAGCTATCCGGAATCTATCTGAAAATATTGGTATTCATCCTATGAACATCAAATTCTTGACCCTGGTCATCAAGACATCCCTGATCACAAACTCCTGGTTGTCTTCAATTCCATATAAAAACTTGATATTCGGGAATCTTTTATTGAGAGTTCTCCACCATAGATTTCTTTGTGTCAAAAATCAGATTCAAGTTCGTAGGAAGTAATCTAACAGGAAACTGTAGACTCCTGTTCAAAGTCAGTGCAATCAAAATTTTGACACTTCTTGCGTGTGTTTCATCTTGGGGACCTTTTTATTCGAGTAGATTTATCTACAGACCGGTTATGAGGTATTACCTCTCATCAGTGCAGGAAAGATCCGACCAAAACAACAAAGTGCCTGGGAGTTGATTAACTTCAACGAGGCCTAACTGCATATACGAAACGTCCGTCTAAATATAAAAGAAAGATTGTTAACTAGTAACAGCTCCAGCTAATTTCAGCATGATCCTGCTGCTGGATGAACTAGAAACATCTGCGAGATTAACTTCTGTGAGATATCTTTCTAAAAGAAAGATTGTTAACTAGTAACAGCTCCAGCTAATTTCAGCATGATCCTGCTGCTGGATGAACGAGAAACATCTGCGAGGTATCTTTCATAAATATCTGTCGGATATAATTCAATATCCAGCTTGGTATTAGTTGGGGAAGCAGTTGTTTTCCGGCAGGCATTCACCAGAACCTACTGAGTAGGTAGTTGGGACAGATGAATATCAAGTGAAACTGACGAGTTTCAAAAAATGATAGACTGATAGTACTGCAAATCTTTTATTTACATAAGTTTTCTTCGTTACTGCTGCCGCTACCACTTTCGTCCTCGTCCGAGTTACAGGTACCATCATCATCTGAATCAGAGTCACTATCACTAACAGCTGATCTGTTGGTATTCACAAATAGTCCTTCCTCGTCACTTTCTTTTTTATCACTGTTGTCAAACTCTTTTGGCCACACATTGTCCTTTTTAAACTGTTTTATATGCTCTTTAGTTAAAATCCTGACCATCTCAGCTTTGACTTTGTCACCTTCTTCGATAGGTTGCACCAATACAAAGTCCCCTCTTTTTATCCAAACATTTTTACGGAATTTGGTTGGCATTGATGCGAGAAATATGGTTTTATCGATGGCTTCTACTTCATGTAAATTGTTTCCCTTACTGCTGATGACTCTTACGATTTGCTCATTTTCGTTTGGCGGACGGAGGTCATCTTGTAGAACTTCTAGAAAAACGTGCTTTCTTTTTGTTGCTTTTGACATTTTTTCTGCAAAAAAATATTTCATCATATACTTACGCCCCATCAAAATAGTCTAATGTGTTATTGTAAAATAAGATGAGGCTCAAATTTAATAATTCAAGATGACAAAAATATTTTTTATTGAATTATCTGAAGTCTCTCAAAAAATAACTCATTATCCACATTTATCAGAAGCACTAGACAATCCCATTTAAGAACAGAGTAAATTGGCGAATATTAAGTATCTGTTAATCATATGGGGTAATGGTGGCATTACTAATTTCAAGAAAATTCAAAGGCTACAAAATAAATCAATAAAAATTTTATTTCAAATTCCATTTGGAACCCGCACAAATGACTTATTCTCACAGATTGAACTACACCCAATTAAATATCTACTTGAACTTGAGCAATGCAAAAACATATATAAAATAAAAACAAAAGAATCAAAAGCAACAACCAGTTTTATGAGTATAATACAAGGGGTAGAAATGACTTACACCTGAGCATGGTAAGAACGAACAAAGGATTATATAATCTTTTACACAGGCTATAAAAGTCTTCAATGAATTACCTGTCCATATACGTGAGTTGCCCGACGATAGTTCATTTATCAATAGTTTAAAAGAACATCTGAGCTTCGAGGCACATGTCTGATACGTTGATTTTATGAGATTTGTAGTGGTTTACTAGTTTTTGTGTTTCACTTGTCATGTTGAATGTTTGTGAATCCCGAGACCAGCATTTTTGCTGATTAGGGAGAATAACAACATACTTTATATTTATAGTGTCTTAACTATGTTGAACTTGTACGCTGTTGTTATATTTTTAATAAAAAAAAAATGGCAAAAATATAAGAAACCTTGGCACCAAGAATAAGAAGACATATTCACGGAACCTATCGCCAAACAGATCAGCTTACTCAAAAAATTCACAACAGAACACGAGTCCGAAAATGGTCACCTTCAGTTTATTAGCGAATTCGTCGATATTTTCTGGTGGATGAAGCACCCAGAAGTAGAAATATTCTCAACAACATCAATAATAAAGTCACACTATATAGGCTTCAATTGAAAAGAGGGACTTTATGCTCAGATGTGATATATTCAAACTGGCTAGAAGCGTGGTTTGAAACTGTAGAGGAATTTTCTAATTTTATTTCATCAAATTTCCAATATAGTGTTTTATGGACCGGTTCGGAGAAATTGCTAGTCCAAACAGTACTTGGAGATATATCTTCGAGCAGCAGGAATTTCAATCACTCTGCATTACTGAAAGAAATCAACCATGAAGAAAATATCACAAGTGTTCTCAGGAATAGAAATGATGGAGCCAGTGTTTCATCTGCAACTGATGAATTATGAATTCGGAAAGAATTATCATTTTTGTATCAATGACTTTTGTTCATTACTTTATCGTCTTTTTTCTGTGTAAACTACTGTGGCTCCACCAGATAAAAGAGTTACAAAATGATCTGGTTATTTATCTTATCTGGTTGAAGAGTGAAGCTAATTGCTTTTGAAATACTCGATTGTTTGTATGAACGTTTACTAGTTAGCAGTGTGCAAGATTCACTAGATATTCTCTCTTGTGAAGGAATAAGAAACTTTGAATAGACTTCTTCTCGTCTGGCATGGCAAAGTCTGTTCGTTTTAGGCTCTGGTTGATTCTAAATCTGGCTTGATGTCTACTGTCTTTTACAAGTGCAAATTCTGGAAATGCCTACTTTTTTCAGTTTAGTCGAAAGTCACTCACATTCCATTTCTTGATTTTCCATTAACTCGACATATTATTTCTTGAAATCAAATAATCTAACCAATGAATATTTTATAGGTTTGTTCAATTTCTCTCCTATTTAAAAGTAAACCTCTAGCATAGAATAAATCCAAAAACAAGCACTTTCACCAATCACCAGAACTGCAACACTCTTCTCGACGCGCGTTTCACCAATCAAGTTTGTGTCTTCAGGAGATGGAAAAACTAACAGTAACATGGTTGTTGAAACTCGTATCGACTATAGCAGTTCTGGCGATTGGGAAAAGTGCTTGTTTTTGGTTCTATTATATTTTTGGAATTTCATTAAGCTATTGAAACCTAACCTCGATCCTTGAAATCAAAATAAGTGAATCAACAGTGCTACATAGGGAAAAGCAATATTATATGATATTCATGTTGCTATCAAAGATCGATACTTTCGCCACTGTTTGCTGAATTATTACTTTCGTTGAAACACTGAAATTCCATAGTTTCAGACAAGTAGAATGCAATTCTTATCCCTTAGTAGCTTACTTTCAAGGTTGTTACGCTCAAGACCTCCCAGCTTTGGTTACTTGCCTCAGAGACATGTTATAAAGGATCAGATAAGAATAATCACTCACTTACTTAATATTATTCAGATACAGTACTTATTAATCATCACTGTTTCAGATCCCTTTATAAATTGAATACATTAAATTAATTATCCAGATTGATTATAAATTTCATTTTTCATTCATAGACCACTTTTACAGGCCATCTCGAAGGATTTCTAACAACCGATGTTACTAAAACCAACGTTAATGCCTTGTAAACATAATTTTTATTGGAAGTAATGAACGTTATCTAACCAGTTCAGAAAGGGGTGTAGCAATTTGAATGAGACTCCTGCTGCTCTATTCGGCTTACCAAAAAGGCAAATGGTTGATGAAATTAGACAAGAAAAGATTCAGTTTTCCATCAAGTAAAAACTATGCAACAAATGGCTATATGAAAACTGCCAAACATGTTCAAACATGCAGAATATATATAAATATATTTACTGAATCACAAAAGATGTATCAAGCCCGAAAGTTTTTCAAGATACAATATTATGACAATATGTGAGATAACATGTATGTGTATATATAATTCACCGTTTTTTATTTTTATCCTAAAAAAATCCCAACCAATTTTTATATTGCATTTTCATACCATAATCGTGTTTTTTTGCTTCTATATTTTTATAATATATTTTATCATGTATATGTTTCAACTCTTGATCCTGATATGTAGTAATTTTTACTTATATATTTGTCCCTAACAATCTAAGACCTGACCCTCCTATTATTTTAGGCGAAACATTGACAAATAATACATGTATACAGGACGGACATAAATAACCTCCCCTCCATCTTAACAAAATTTACGTGAAAAAGATTCATTTTTCACTTTTTTATAGAAAAGACATGTGTTGCATAATTCATCGCCGAGAGGGCGCTACCAACTTGTTTTTTTCAAATGAAATAGGGGTTTTGTGTTTTTTATGTTTACTGTTTACTGTTTCAGTTCTCACATAGTGTATTCTGTAAGTTGACTCCTCATTTCTGCCAGGCATGTTCAATGAAATTTTTGTGGAGTCATCTTCTCTGTTTGTAATTGAATTTGTCCATCTGATGTTCAATGGTTCTACTGGTCCGTTGGCACCAATTTCATCGGCACTATTTTTATCCACCATTGTAATTGTTCAAGCTTTATCAAAAATTGCATACGTTTCAACTGTTTCTCTTGAATCGCTGATTTCAACTGGAGCAATAAATAGGAGTACCTCGTTTTTATCGTTATTATTTACACCATGATTCAATTCATCTTTGACTGCAGTTTTGATTTGGTATAATAGCCTATGTTGTTCAAATTGACACTGTCCAAATGATAATTTTTTCTTGTTACGCCCTATTACTTTTTTGACCCATTTCCAGCGTCTTTCAACATATTAATTATGAAATTCGTTGCATTTTTCCACCTCATGTCCGTCCTATTAACAATATTTGTACTCATGAACAGTTTTCTCATTTCTAGTAGATGTGGTGCACACATATTTCTTTTCAGATTGTTCAAATTCTGGATTAGTCTCTTACATTGCTGCTTCGCTGATTTCTTCTAGCCACATGGAAAACTTCACAATATAAATAGTTCGATTACCCTTTGTCTCTATTTCATTTTCGGACGACCGGCTGTGGAATTTCTTATCAAATCATTTAATAATTGAGGATTCATGAGCTATTCTTGTCCGTTCAAACGCCAAATTCTGTACTTTGTAAGAGAAATCCAAGATATTTTCAAGCTTATCTCCTCTCAAATTGGGAATTCCCGCCATGGAATCTATGAGATTTTGGATGATTATTTCTTGTCGGCCGAATCTTTTTCCTGGGGTGCTATTGATTTTTTTCACCTTCATGAGTAAAACTCAACACTGCATTGAACCATTCCTTTCCTTGGCCTTTGTGACATTTCTGCAAACATACAATATTTTCAACATGAGAAAATCGACGGTTTTTTGTTAACTTTTTGAATTTTTTGATGAAATTCATTGGTTGAGTGGAAAAACAACTCTGAAGCACTTGTGCTAACTGAGTTGAACTTCGCCTTTTGTTATGTCAGCAACTAGCTCTCTAACTTATTCAAATATTTGTATGTAACTATAGCTGGATAACAATAAAGACGATTATTATTCACTAGGTTCGCCACAGGAAATGGGTAGATCTTTGGAAAAAAATTCTGGTCCTAAGTTGATTGATTTTCAGCTCATCAAAGATGGGTTTGGTGGATTGATGTTCGTTATCTCCTTTACAGCCCTTCTCGGGATAAGTCTCTAAAAAATGTACCCAGTTTTGAACCAATGAAGATTTAGACATGACGGTTCTGGATTTGCTTTCTATGAAAAACCGTCTGTTCTATCTTAACATGGTATTCATCTTCAAAATATTGTCTGGTACTGCACCCCCATATTTTGACCAATTTATTGTTTTCCATCACCAAATTCATAATTACCTCACTAGGGGTAATTCTAATTTATATGTACCACGTTTGAACTTTACATGATCCATGAACTCCTTATTCCATAAAGGACTATTGGACTACAATAACCTCCCGCTTGAGATAAAACAAAGTAAATCTATTATGACATTCAAAATGGGACTAGTCATTTGAAGATACAACATCCACATTAACATTGATATTATAATAACATATATATCTAGTATTTGTAATTTACATTATTATTTTTCATATTTATTGAATGTCTATTTGAAATAAATATATATTATATCTTCGTCTGGTTTCTATGCGCTACAGGATAAATTTGACTTCAAAGACACTGTCAGTTCTGCTTTTTTGAGTGCGATTTCTTCGTAGACTGATCTGCCAACTTTTTTGCTTTTTCACAAAACTGCAATATCAAAAATTATTATCTAAATGTGCTGAACAAATCGTTCATAAATGTAAGTAAAATTATTCGATTGTGCAGAATTCTACAGAATCTTTTCGATATAAAAAACATTCACTTACCAGCAAACAAAATGAAATATTGATATTTGATCACCAATAACGCATTTACTGATATCACCTTTCACCAATAAAGTTCACTGGATCTTTATAAAAAAAAATAAATCACCAGATTCATCTATGCTTCACTTGCAATAGTTCCAAGAACCTCTTCCGAGAATGTGCTTTCTCTATAAACACACCTAATATTCTTCCCAAGTAATAATTATTCAAATCATTCATACACCAATCACGTAGCAAAATACCCTGAGTTTTATCAAGAATTAAATAAGAATGCAGAACACACCAGAATATACCAAAATATTCACCTTTCTTCATCAAACCGGCTGCCATGCCAACAAGCAAATTGCCCTCCGGCCTTCTTAATCGCTTCATGAATATTAAGCTCTTCTCCGTTACAAATACCGTACCCCTTACTGAGTCCATGCGGATTAGATGGCGTAACGCAATCCTGTTTAGAATCCTTCCTCAACACCTTGTCCACTTCCACAGCGGAAAAAAACGCCACTGACTGAGGCAAGTCTCTCAGACCGAGCCGATATGAACAGAAAGATCTCGTCAGAAGGTTTGTCACATGGAGAGCCAAAGCTACTTGGTATCTGTACTCATCCGGTACCATGTACCTAACTTCGTCGTGAAAACTGAGGCAGAATCGAGCCTTATCCTTCATGATCCACCTCATGCAGACCAGCATGAGGTGCAAAAAGTCCGCGGCTCCGCTCTGGACCACCCAGTTGATTCGCGTTGGCAAGTACCGGTCCTCCACCTGTGAACGTGGCTCCAAGGCTCTACTAAGTCGTCCATTCAGAAAAGGTGTACAGGGAGCTTCGCTGTTAGCGATATCTTCCAATCTGTTGAACATCGCGGATTCAGAGCCGCCTATCCAGCGCGACTGGTGAAACATTTCGTTTACGGATTTCCCACTAACTTTGGCAACATCGAAAGCTTGCCATTTGTTGTAGTGTAAGTCAGCAAACTCGTGCAAGTAATCCGATTTCAGGTGGTATATTTTCTTCCCCTTGGTCAAAGCAAACATTTTCAGAGCCTTGTTCCTGGCTTCCGCCTCGGACATGGTAGGATTGAACTGTTTCAGGAGTCGCTCGGCGAAGTTCTGCCCCGCCCCGTATATCCTCGCATAATTTATCACCTTGGCGTGGTCTCTGCTTATGCCTACAGCTTTGGCGGTGACGCTGTGCATATCCGTTCCGGCAGCTTTGTTGCCACTCAGCGTCATCCAACCAAACGGCGTCGCTCCATGGACTTTGGCTCGGTGTGCGTCTCCTATGACGGAGGCTATCCAAAGTTCTTGGGAGTCTACGTCGGCTCCTACTATATGGTAGCCTGGAGGAGCTTGGACCATGGCTCGAAGTTCGGATCCAACTCGTTCGGGATGGGCGTTGGACGCTGTCATCCAGGTGGGTTCAACTGCTCTTCTCGTAAGGGTGCCGCATACTACCACTTGGGGTATGATAGCGCCATATACGTAACCTGAAAATAAGGAAATGTTTTGAAACAATTTGATGTGGCGAAATAAAAGTAATCATAATAGATATGTTCATTCAAGGTGATATAGAAAAAGAAAGTTGTTAGAAATATGCTGGACTTTCCGAAAAACCACAACATTCATTTTAATATTCTTAATCAATGTGCTTCTCCATTTTTATCAACATCTCAAGCGATCATTCTCGCCGACATTTTCTTCCTAAAGATGCCTGTAAGTACTGTCGAAATATAGTGTTATAAGAGCATACATTTCTCGTTTGCTGCTGTACCCACTAAATTTTCAAGACTTGTATCCTGACTGGTCAGCAAAGACTATCCGTGAATAAATAATGAATAGATAGATAGATATTGAAACCAATGATTATAGTTTACTTTTGTTGTTCAGTGAATACATTTTTATATTCCAAAAGAGTGGAATAATTTCAAAACTGTAAGCATTTGTTCGGACTTCCATTGTCTACTTGTGTAACAATTTTATCATTCTCCAAAGATGAAAGTTTCTGTTAATTATTCCATTGATAATTTACTATAATTAGCCTCACCTTTATTGTGTAACGTTTTAGGCAAATTCTGCTCTGATAACCACACTACCATCTGATCCATTATTCTATCCCTGTTGTTTCTCCAATACGACAACTTTCTCGCTATTTCTAGAACTTGCTCAGCGCCCTCCGTATCTCCAGCTAAAACATTCTCTGAAAACTTGTTCAAGAAATCCTTAGCCAGGGGATTTCCGACATTATAAGATGTTCCGTCTTTGTGTGGCAACTTGAAAAACCAGCAGCAGTCCTCAATTTCCGTGTTACACCAAACTCCTGTCCCCTTGTAAGCACCTTTGGTTTTATTCTGCTTCAGCCTAGCATAGTATTCTTTCTTCATCAAATGTTCCTGAACTTGATTCGATATTTGATTAAAGGCATCAAATGTGCTACTTCCATCTTTGTTTACCAGAAGCGGACATTTTGCAAGAAGTTTGCTAAGCGGTATTTTACGTTCAATGTCAACATCGTCCGTAAAAGGAACAAGAAAGCCCCATCCTAATTCTCGCAAATGATGCAAGGGATAGCCCTCCCACGTCAGACACAACAGTTTTGGCGTTATTTTCATCGAAGTACTTATCAAATGTGGACCAGGAACCCATAGTGGGGTCGAATTAGGTTTAGAACAGAGTTTGCGATACCAATTAGGGTAGCCTGGCAGCAATGGTTGAATCGAAGACAGGCTAGATTTGGTGTTCCACAGGGAGCGAAACTTTTCTTCTAGAGGGTCCGGTTCTTCCTCACTGCTTCTTTTTTTTTCATTTTCTACAGTTGACTTTTGAGATGCTCGCGTCTTCTTCCCAGCTTGACTGTTCTTCAAAGTCGCACTTTTTAATTTGATGTTTTTGATAGTCCAATCCTGATCCCACATCCAAAGATCCTCTTTGTACTTGTCTTCGTGTAGCAGCTGACTGGCTTGGTCTGCCTTACGTGCCAACAGGATTTTACTTTCACTTTCCAGATCTTCGTAGGCTTGTTCAGATTCTTCTATGTATCTCGTCCAGTTGGCATTTATCGGTAAATATGCAGTACTCAGCTCTAACATACCTGAAAGATGAACATTCAAACTGATTCTCAACAATAAATTTGAAAATAACATTATTTTTATTGTATAATATATTGAAATAAATAATGAAGTACATTTCAACATGATTGTTAAGAAGTTCTTGATTCTACTATATATATCTATATGTTGTCGTTGAGTTTGGATTGAACCGTGTCTGGAGTTTTGTGTTTGACGTTTATTACTAGTAGTCGTAGTATTTATTGGCCATATTTACATACAGAGTACAATTGGCATGTCAAAAAAGTCGCTGATAGTGATGAGAATATAAAAATTTTACGTTACATAGATAAAAATTAAAAAATTTAAGAATATAGGTAAAAAAGAAAACTATCTTGTATATGTATTCACATTGAAAAACTTACTCAGTGAACATTCAGTGTTTGGATTGCAATGCCGGAAATTCCTCTATTGAATGGAAGCCATTTTCCAGAAGGTATTTTTTGTTGCATTTTTAAAGCTGTTATAGCTATTGATATCCTTTATGTATTTTGGCAAGTTGTTATAAAGAAATATGCAATGATAAAATGTAAACTATTCAATTTCTGACAATGAAGTTCCACCGAGAAGGCCAAAATTGAAAACAATATTTTGGAAAACAATGAAGTTTGTTAAAAAATGTTTTTCTAATAAATGTTTCAACTAGATAATTAACATTAATTCATGATAACTTTACTAGAAATATTAGTTGAATACTTACGCAACTAGCTAGGAGAAAATGGTAAGGTAAGAACTCCATTCTTGACACCTTATTCATTCTTTTTATGCAATGTAATTCAATGCCTTGGTTATCATAGATATAAACCCAGTCCTTCTGGGCAACAGCGAACATTGTTTCAATATGCAGCCAACTGATCTCATGAACAGATTCCATAACATTCATTTCGCAATGTAACTTTTTTGTCACCCAATCGAAAGCAGCAACATGACCTTTTTTACCTCCTAACAACAAATGTCTTCCATTTCTAGAATACTTAGCACGATAAGGACCAAAGTCAAGCTTCAAGTCAAAATGTTTTGACGCAGCAGCAATATCTACATTTCTTACAATTTCTTTTTGTGTGAACTGAGTTGTTGTTTCTCCAGCCTCTGCTTCAAGGTAACTGAAAGAGTAATAGTTAGACAACCCCTATAATACTACGATTAGTAATAACAAACCCCGCATCCTCGGTTAGCAAAACTTCGGCTTTTGCTGCTTGGTCAACTGCAAATTTGATTTTTTTCTCCTTTTTCTCAATTTTTTTCTTGTGAAACGTAGTTCTAACACGTTTGACATTGACCCCTTCACCTTTACTATATTTTTCAATGAGTTCTTTAGGAGGTTTAACCTTCCCTCTGAAAGTGGGATTTGGGTTAGATTTTTGTCTAATTAAAGTTTTTGCTTTTTTAAACTGCTTGTCCTCCGCTCTTCTACCCCATGGTCTTTTCTTAACATTAGTAACATCATACGTTAGAGCATCGGAAGATTTTTTATTTTCAGTATCAAGGGCTGTAGGGTCAGGTTTTGTAAAATAACGAACTGGTTGCTAAAATTTATCAGATTAGATTGATTACTGAAAATTCAAAGTAAATCCATACCTTTCCCATTTTCTTTCACCTCATATCCTCCTCTATATATACAATTAACACAATATTAAAACAAGATACAAGCAAGAAATGTTTTCCTCACAATTATAGGTTAGCTTAACTTAGGTTATGTTATTAGTTTTCTCTAAAATTGGCCTCGTTCTTTTGTTCTCTCTCTCTCTCTCTCTCTCTCTCTGTCAGTGTTGTAATATTTGAGTCGTATACAAAGCGTAGAATTATGCGCTGAGAGATTGGCAACACTAGCTGATTAATCTTCAAGAGTGGTAGTCGACATTAAAGAACCCCAAGTTGATGTAGCAAAAATGACTTCGCACTCTTCGGTTGATACCTCAGAGTAACAAAAGACAATAGAGAAGCGAGTGTCACTGGATGAGGAAACCTTTCAGAAAATAAAGGAAACAGTTTTTCCAATATAGAATGGGTAGCTTCAACATCCATAGAGCAGTACTGCATCACCTCTTGAAAGTTATCCTTCACATCTCGAATTGTTCCTTCAACAAAAATATTCCTAGTCTCCTTCTTAAGTTTCTTCCCGCAATACAACTTATAAACATCCACCAAATTGTTCAAAGAACTGCATTCTCTCCACAGTTCATCTTCCTCATCGAATTTATCAGATTTGATAACAGCTCTCTGATAACTCGTTAGTCCCCCTACGCAAACGTGCAGGCTCATCGTATCTACGAACCTCGTCCCTGTTTTATTTATCCAATACTGTTCTTTTATGCGAGCCCGATCATAAGACACATTATGGCCTATAACGACTTTTGGTTTCTTCTGATGCTCAGTTAATTCAATTCCATCATCTTCAGGGTCACTTTCTAAAGGAATGAGTGACGTTATTGGATACTGGTGACTAGTGACTGGCTTGCTAGCTCCCTCAATCACTGAGGGACTGACCCAACTATACCAGGCTTTTCCGCTGACAGCAGTGGCTAGAGTTGGTAATTTACCTGCCTTCACACAAACCTATAGAGATGATGGAAATACTTGAACATGTATCCATTTTTGTGAACTTGTAGGTATTATTAGTAAGTTAGTATTTGTAGGTTCTATACTCTGTTTTGTTTCCCCGAATTTTCTCTATGTAACATTATGAACTACACAGATAAGAAGTATTTTTGGTAAATTATTTTTGGGAAAAATATTCTCCATTGAAACATACATAATGGAACTGGGAAATATGTAGATTGCCGGTAGGTGTTTCTTACATGATCCATGATAAAAATTAAACAATTGTTATAAACTTTCTTTTATTCTAGACGTGTTTTGCTAACACCGTAGCTTCATCACAACGTTGTTCGCAGAATAAACATTTTTTATGAAAATTGTTTAATTATTATCATGGATAGTGTTAATAATTTTCTTCAAGTAAAGGGTCAGTCCATTCATGAGTTTCTTACATGTACAAACCAGAAGAGTCATAATCACTATCACAATTTTTTTTTTCTGGACCAACAAGAATGATAAGTTACAATCAGATTTGTTCTGGAGCAAGAATTATGTAACTTTCACTTCAATTATATCAGTTAATTGAAATATCATATTCATGAAGGTAAGTTAGTAAGTAACTAGTGCCGTCTTTATTTACGATTAAACATCAAAAATTCCTCTCAAAACATTAAACAAAAGCTATCAACTCAATAAGAAATATAACTATTGGAATCAATAATGTTAGGCAACAAAATAATAATTTACCTCCACATCAAAGATGAATGCCTCTTCTAAAGGATGCGGGACCTGTTGTGGTTCACATTCGGGAACATATCTAGTCCATCCAGGCAGCATCACCCATGACTTTGGACGAGGTGGAATGAATTCCAGTAAGTGAAGCAATAAATCTCGATAAGGTTTTACTTGCTCCTCTCCAATGATTTCAAAATGCTCTTCAATATTCTGACCCTTCAACGGAGGAATTTTAAAATCTACATCTTGTTGAATCTCACTGTCCTGACCACGTATTCCATGTTTTTCAAGTTCCTTCAAACACTGTTCCAAAATGCCAGAATTACCTGTTTCTTTATATCCTTCAATGAAAACTTGTTCATAAATAGCCTTTGACAGCATTTGTATATTCAATTTATTTACACGCTTACTGTAAGATTTTTCAACACAAGGGGCAGAAGGTTTCCGTTTAGGTATTTCACAATTGTGTTTTTCTGGGTTCGGCAAAAAAACTTTACGTTGGAAACCTGGATGTATATCATAATATTTTCTTTGGTGCAATACATTTTGGTATAATTGAATATTCAAAAATTGTTTCTTATTGAATTGAAACATTCTGGTGTGTTCTCCACTCAAAACATTATTTTTCGCTTGTTGATAACCTGAGCATATTAACTAAATACAATATACAGTAATATGCATCAAGTAAAACTGAACAACACATGTATATGGAGACAATTCGATATTTTCCAAATGTTACTCAAATATGAAAATGGTTACTGTACTTACTACAATGTTCTTTTTTTACTATTCCTATTAAGGTTATTATTGAATAACAAGGCTCAAATGTGTTTTACACTAACCACACACTAACAAACAGCTTATATCAAATTTGAAAACATACAGATAACCTCAAAAACATAACTGAATTTTTTATTCTTCTTCTCTTTTTGTAACACCACAGAAAAGCGGAAATACAGAATTCTGTAGTATTCTGTGGTAACACCCTATATCTTTTACTAGAGTCGATATACTAACCTGTCTATTATTTCACTTTTTTTCCAGTTACTTTTGAATTACGGCATGCAAGCCAACGTTTTAATGTTACAACACTTTTATTACGACAAGACAAGAGCTGTGCTCATTTATCAGAATAGAGAGACCAGCTCAAAATGATATTCTCAATCTGACATTTAAAAAAAAATGAAATTTGATTACAGCATAAAGAATCAAAGTTGCATTAATAGTTCTTAGAATATTCAATTATGAAAAAAATGCATAGAAAACACTTTTTCCTCACCAGAACAAAATTGATGTATCCTGTAGTATTAGTCCACGTGGTCTTAGACTACTTTCATAGTTTCTATCCGAAATCTGACAGTGATAATGAATCAAGTTACCTGATAATTTTATCTATCAAAATTTATGTAATTCATGACACGTAATTCGGTCAGTAATAAATTTCGGTGAAATGTATCGCTCCTGTAAATGTCCAGTAGAACAAACTGCTTGCCGGTGTCCTTCCAATGAGTCTCAATATAGTACAGATGATGTTTATCCCGATGAAACAAGCGGTGCTCAGTGCCTGTGCTGTTCTTGCGACAAAAGCGACAAACCAATGGTCAGAGGAAAGTTCGGCCTTGCTTATGTTATAGAAACACCAAAAAAGAAATTTTGTAAACCACTGGGTTGGCAAGTTGAATTTGAAGATACTCCTTCCAAAATAGTGAACAACTGCGAAAAAATGTTGAAATGGGTAAATTGTCCCCCCCTTGGTGACTGTAATAACATCGAAACAAATTTTTGTGCCTATCCGGATGATTGTGGTCAACTTTTGAAAGAACGAAGAAGCAACCAGTCTAAATGCTGCAAATGCTGCAATCAAAAACCTCCGAAAAAGGATGAAGGAAGACAATGTGTACGCGAAACAAAAAAAAAATACAAAAATTTGTCCTGTTGCAATCAAAACAGAGAGCCAGTTTGCATAATTTGCGAGAAATGTAGGGTAAATGCACCAGTGTGCTGCAATTCCCCCAAGGTGCTTTGTTGTTCCAAAACCAGTCGTAAACCAACTTGTAATTGTCAAGAACGAAATGATAACAGATGCAAATGTTGCACGAAGGAAGAATCTATTGAAAAATATTGTTGTAAATGTTTCAGACCAAAACCAAATTCTGCTTTTTTTCGTGAATCTTTAGACAAAAAAAATTGTGATCAACATCAGATAAATCAATGTTGTTGCGCTAAGACGTTTTTCGTTTGTGACGATGTTTTAGATTATATACCCAAAAAGGATATCACTCTCATGGAAAGAAATAATAAAACTCTTCAAGACAAACAAAAAGACCAAAATCCACCATACAAAGATAGAGAAAGGAGTTCAAGCTTCGAAGAGGAAAAACATGAACAAGCCCGATCAAATGCTCGTACATATAAAATTGAGTCTAAACCTGTAACGAAAGAAAACAAAGAAATTGAGACCGAGGATGTGGAAGTAGTTCGATTGAAAGAAAGGAAAGAGAAAGAAAACGAATCAGATGAAGTTGATGCAGTAAGTACATGAACTCACATGAAAATTGATTTTAAAAATTTCATCAACGACTCTAGATTGGCAATTCTCTTTTGTTACATTGATATGTTAATAAATATTCATTTTTAATGTTTTATTCATATTGATTTCAATACAGTTTCAATACAAGTTCAGTTTTTCTAATTTGTGGGGTTATATATATCTGCTGGACTGTATGGAAGTATAGAAAGGTCAACTGGTTGAAGTGTCGAGATGATATGAACTTTCAACTTCATATTTTTTTCCCTTCATGATGATTAGATATAAATAGAAGAATAAAACAAATTTAAATCTCGATTAAATATTTTTACGTCAGTACTCGTTTTCGTTAATTTCCCATTGATTCATAAAATAAAAATATCCAATCTGTCGGAACACAAAAATGAACTTCATTATTGCATATTTGTAAAGTCTAGCAATCCTGAAATAAATTTCATGTTACAATTTCGATCAATTTGAAAACGTTGAATGAAAATTGCAAACGGAAACAGCTCTATGAAATACTGCTTCTTTATTTTTTTTAAATATACAATTTACACGAAAACGGTGTGATTGCGCTCTCTTATACATTTAGAGAAACCGAATAAATGGAAAAAAAATATGCCAGGATGTCACTTTTGTAACAGATTAGCACAGTATTAATTTTCAATAATGAAATTTTTCCGTTATATAACTTACCCCCTATTAAGATATAATTCTTAGAAAATGTTACTTCAAAGCAGTTCAACTCATTAAAAATGTCTATTTCTCAGCATAACAACATCAAAACTGAAGAATCCATCAATAAAGTTGTCACAGGAGTCAGTTCTATGAAAGAGAATGCAGAGAAAAAGATTACATCAATAGAACCTCCGGAAGGTGATAATTCCGAAGTAAATAGCCCCATTCCTCAACCAAAGTACATTGAAAATGAACAAGTCCATAAAAAAGATATTTTCGAACACACCACTGTAGAGGCTATAGAAGAAAAAGTTAATCCACATAATAATACTTTACAAACTGACGATGTTACTATTTCTGAATCGAAGAATCTCGTAAATGAAGACACAAAAAATAAGGACAACGATAAAGTAAGTACTGAAAAAGATCATGAGGAGAACAAGATGGTTCCAAAAGAACTATTTGCAGATAATACTCTTAACGTAAATTATATTATTTATCAGGCCACGATAGACACCATCGAATTAAATTCTGAAGGTGCTAAAGAAAAAAATGTAATTCCAAAAAAAACCTCAAATGATAATTCCATTGAAAATAATAGCACCCTTGAGGCAGATGATACTATTCCTTTAGAAACGCATATCAAAGAACATAATGAAATAAATAATGTGGGGGATGATGGGGAAAAAAAGAGTATTTCAAAAGAACAATTGAAAGATGATACCCTTCAACAATCAATTGATCAAGTACAAATGGAAGTTCATAACAATCCTGGTGAAATAAGTGAAGAGTATGAGTCAGTACAACAAATTTCAAAAGTTTTAACGCAGCCATCTATTCTACAAAAAATTCGAGAAGCGAAGAAAAAGCAATTGACTAAACTACATATATACAAAATTCCAATATACAAAGGAAATGAAACTAGAGTGGATGTTATTGAGTCAACAAAATCTAAGTCCCCAGATGAAATTGAGGCCGAGAGCGAAATCCAGCAAATTGATTATGAAGGCGATAAAACTATTCTAGAGAAAATCAAAGAAGTCCATCAGAAGCAAATGCATGAACTCCATCTACACCTAAGGAAAGAATAATGCATATTTATTTTTTGTATATTCAATGATTAAAAGATTTAATTTCACTCATAAGTTTATTTGATTTTTCAACTTTTATGTTATGAGAGCAAAAAATATATATTCACTTATCAACTGGTATAAGAAATTTGTTCTAGGAAAGTAACTTTCAACTGAATAAGTATAATCTACAGCTGTAGAGGCCAAAAACCAGAAACCCGTATCCGCGGTTTGTCCCCTTTTTGGAGTGTTGTGTCCACAAATATATCACACACACTCGATAACATTTATATCCGTACTTATATCCTGGACCCGGATTTCACGCTGGTAGCTATAGCTGCCTACGTGGTCATGTTAGATTTAGCCTGAGAATTCTAGGCCTTTTAACTGGAACCACAAATGTGCAGTTGGCTTCTGTTATTGACTCCGTGCGTATGTGTTGTTTCCTGATGTTTAAGTAAAAGCATCAAACCCTTTCTTTCTTCTCATGTGAATGTACGACTTTGTAGGTACGGGTGGCAAATATCCGACGGTAAAACAACAACTAACCCAGCTAATGCCATGCAGAAAGCTGAAGTTGAACCATCAGGCACCTGTGCAATGTCTTCCAGTTGGAAGATTCGTTGCAACAGGACAATAGAGAGAGAATAAAAAAACTGGAACAAAACGAACAAAAATAAGAAGCACAAAAAATGTCTGGGAAAAAAAATGTTTTTTCGGGGCCAGTATTCATGCTGCTTGACAGATATAAAGTAGGAGTATTGAAACAGGTACCCGACCTGCCAGAAATGGATTATTTCTACTTAACGTGAGTTACTTTAAGATGTGTGGCGAGACAATAATGACCTCCATGATTGCGGCATTTTCTGTGAATCAAAGACAGTCGGGATGTTTTTTCAATTTCAATAGCTTCACGAATTATCCTGGCTTCAAGTTCAAGTGGAATCACCATACCCTGTCTTTCCTCTCATGTGAATCTACGACTTTGTAGGTACGTGTGGCTATCCGACGGAAAACAACAACTATCGCCCAGCTGATGCCGTGCAGAAAGATGAAGTTGAACCATCAGGCACCTGTGCAACGTCTTTCATTTGGAATATTCGTCGCAAGTAATTTCTTATATATCAAAAGCAGAAATTGATTTCATTTGGTCGGCATGACCGTCGATAGACCGATTTTGCAGTAATTGCTCCTTGTCAGTACTGGGAAGGTAATTTCAGACGAAAGAAATCGTTTGAGTATCCCGAACAAACAAAATTAATTCCAACTAATCAAAGCTCAGAGAAAAAATGAATAATAAAAAGTAATAATATCATTACTCAGAGATCATAAGCTCTATCTGCAGTTGATTCAGTAGGATATCCACTGCGCCACCCGCACTCAAAGATCACTGGTGGATAAAATTCAAACTTCAACCACAGATAAACAGCCCAATAAACTTACCATTAATCACAAAACCACAGATTAAGTGATAACTTAATCTGTGCTTTAACATTATGTACTATCAAATAGCCGATTTCCGGAAATGATAACTGTCACTATCAAAAATGGCAGAAATGTTTACATTTGGATAAAGATTTTTCCATCAATATTATTCCGAATATACCGAAATACGAAGTAGCTGCCTCCAACCGTCGTCAAACTGTCATGCTCAGTGCTCATGTTATTTGCCATGATTGCCAAATCCCAAATCTAATATCACAACATCTAACAAGAATTTGAGATTTGACATTGACGCTAGTGACAGACATTTTGTTTTTATTTTTTATAAATATTTCCTCAACATTTCTGAATTTGCAATGGAACAAATCTCAAATCCTCTAGTATATTTGGATTTGAATTACGGGGGTGCGAAAGGTTTGTTGAATCCAATTCTACTTTACCTATGTAATGTATAAAGATGCTATTTTGTTGAATAAAATTTGTTCTCTAGCTGGAAGGGTCCTTATAGAATTATTCAGGGATAAAGTTCCCAAAGCAGCTGAAAATTTTCGTGCACTATGTACAGGAGAAAAAGGCCTAGGCAAAAGAGGAAAACCTCTTCATTATAAAGGAACTAAGTTCAATAAAGGTATGCAAACGTTTCCAATAATTTTTGCAGTGGAGTTATTTGGTGCCATACATATTCGCTTACATAAGTCATTAACATTTTTATTGAAATATTAATTGTAAGAGTAAAAATTTTCTTTATCAAGTAATTTTTTAATTTCAATGGAAACTTATTCAGGCTGAGATCTTTAATGGAGTCTGGCAATTTATTATACATTTTTGGAGCAAGGTAGTTCACACATCAAACCATGGAGAGTGATGTAAATATAACTTTTATGTCTTGTATAATAAGCATGCAGATTAAAATTCATGACAAAGGAAGGTCAATGTTTATGGGTGAATATGTATAAAGCAGTGTCAATATATTGAGGTTCATGAAAGCTTCTCTGCACTCAGCTCTATATCCAAGACAATTCACAATTGTTACTGCATTACATTGTAAACAAAATATAATAAATGCAGATGCTGCATGGGAGAAAACACTGGTTTAAAAAAAGTTTAAAGAAACTGCATATATATTAAATAATGCATTCACCTAGGTTACTGTGGAGAACTACACTGTATATAAATTGCTAATCAAGCAAACTGGATTATACACTATCCTACCGCATGCATTGAAACACTAAGGCAATTATAGTCAACTTTTTTGTTTTCAACCATACTTGAGAACCTGGCCACCGATAAATTGGTTAAGGCTTTCGTGGCTGAGATTTTCAGTGTTACTATGTTTATTCAGGTTTGAAGGCCATCTTATGCACATCTATGGCCATTGAAATCCATAAACATTCGGAAAACTAAAACAGAAGTGAGGAGGCGGTAAAGCTTAACCGGATTTGGAATCCCATACTAGAAGATGCTAAAGTGCCAATTGCACAATGCAGTGTTACGTCATTAACAGGTAATAACACTTCGGCCAACAGCAACACATCAACAAGAGAGACGAACT